GGTTTGGTTGCCGTCGAAATCCTGCGACTATAGTTCAACTGCTGGCGGGCCCTCCACTCGGGCTTAACGGCTGATCGCTTGAGGGCGCCGTCGATCTCCAGGTCCACGAGACCTCCTTTGCGGGCGATCTCGGCCTTCACTCTCTGCGCGAAATCGATGGCCGACTCGTTGTCCCCTCTGACCATCGGTGGTAAATACCAGACGTCGCACACAATGGCCCAGGAGGTCATCATCATCAGCAGGTATCGCATATAATCGTATTTACTGGAGTTCCAGAAGGGGTCGCCGAACCGGGCGTCGTATTTGATGGCAGCCGGGTATATGATGCCCCCCACCTCGAAACTGCCCTTTTTGAACATCATGACCGCCGAGTTGTTAATACAGGTGCCCTCCGGGAATATCAGGATCGGTAGTTTGTCGGTGTCGGCCACGTGTTCACTCAGACGTCGAGACACCGCTATTCAGTTAAAAGTAAATTTATTTTTTATAATAACTTTATTAACCTATTTATAGCTATTTTCTACCCTACCGGTGCTCATATATAAAAGAGTATTCTAGTCATTATAAGTAAGCAATTGTAGTGCGAGTACTGACCTAATCTGTCACCCATTTCGGACCTATCAAACCAGATATGATGGGTAGCCCTGGCCAGTGCCCTCTGAAGTACACCCAGAAATCCGCCGTGAGTTTGACCCACGAGTGCGTACGAGTTATCACAATGAAGAATGACTACATCTATAGGACTGGTATGATTGGCCACACATATACCGCCCGGTTTGGCCCGATTCTCCACATTATGGTAAGTGATGAGACCGGAGAAGCCGCGGGAAAGTACCCGGAAATTCATTATACTTACTTCATAATACATCCATCGCTTGAGTCTACTGTTAGGTATGAGGGCTATTAGTCCGGTGCACAACACCAGCCAACCCACCCCTAAGATTGTGATCGAGAATCGGATGGGGAGTAGGAAAAGGTATCGGAATAGGAATCCGTAGAACCAGATGATGGCCAGTCTTAGGGAGTTGTAGTGATAGAACTTATCGGTTCTCGTCAACAGATTCCATGTCTTGAGCTCTTCGGCCGCGAATCGTTTGGTCACCTCATCGTCAACAATGGCTTTGATGCCCAGCCGTAGGAATTCAGTGATGTCTGCGATATTAAACTCTTTCTTCTCTTGACTTATGCTTAAACTCATCGTCCGGTGCCGTCTGTTCTCAAATATATCGCCGTTTGGATGCGCTTTACCTGTGAAGACACACATTGTCGACATTATTCATACCATTCTCACAATATTAAGTAATCGAGTCATAAATCATCTCAAAATGAGATGAGGACCTGATTTGTCGTCGAAGACGTCGAACACATCCCCGTCCTCATCGTCGTCCTCGTCATCGCTGTCTTCTCTCATTTGACTCAATTTCCTCTGCCTTTCCTTAACCCTGTGCTCCACTGTCTCGACCCGTTTGCGGCCGTATTCAAAGAGTTTCATCAATTTCTCCACGTATTTGCGGTGAATCCAGAAGTCATGGCCAACTGATGCCAACCCCAGCCATATAACCAACGCCAACGCAAACAGTGCAATGAAAAACATGACTTATCTAGGCTATATTTAAATATGCAACAAAGTTTTTTTGTCTAGCTGATGACTTGTTATGACACTAGTATTGATAATGAATTTCTGAATAATGCTTTTGATGTAGATTTTGAAATCACATTAATTACACAATCGTTAAAATCGACATAACATTCATAATCAGTGGCGAAAACTTTCATTTTTTCTCCATTAACGACACCACAAGTAATCCATTTGTGTTGAAAAAGTTTATGAAAAAATTATTTAAACAAATCATTAATTTTTCTCTCTTTCACTATATATACAGTTCACTTAAAAATTGACGATTAGTGCAAAGTTTGTGCACTTTTTTGTAGTACGAAATATAAGTTTTTTGATAACAAACTCGAAACGCGATTATATTTTTTCACTCATGATTAGACATTGACTTTAAAATACATTTTATCACATTCTGTACTCATCCACACACTTTTATACTTTATAAGTGTTGAACTTTATTTTCAAAGTACAAATTATAAGTTTAAGGCATTAAAAAACAATATATTAGTGTAGATTTATCTAAATCCACAAATTGTTTGACAAAATTATGGAAAATATTGAGCCAATGACTGCTAAAAACACAAATTCAAGAATTGTGTAAACATTTATAGATATTCCCATACATGAGATGTTAAACAACTTTTACTGCCAAAGTCATATGAAAATTCAATGATTATTGATACATGTATTTACATTCAAAAATATCACAGTATTTTGGCTCAAAAAACAAAATTTAAAAACATTAAGTCATATAATATTATTTACAAATAGATACAATTCCGCAGACAATAATCTATTATTATGATTACGATTGTGTCTATATTTTGTTGTCACACTTTCAATGACTGCGAGCTTTAATACAATGGCAGATATTGTCTTCACAATAAAATTTACTGTTCATGTGATAACATATTTAAGATCCAATTCACTGTTAGTTACATCCATACAATCCAATGCAGGGCTATATTCATAATAATTACTCAATTAGATTACGCGTTGAGGACTGATAGCTGACTGCCTTGAATTCGCTGCAGAATATCGGAGCCTTGAAAACAGGCTTTTCATTGATAGACACTTTTGAATCCACGCTATTGTGTGTCATATTCATATAATTTACTGTACACTGTATACTCAATTCAATTTTGTTTTTCTCGTATTTATTGCACAA